GGAATAAACAAAAGAAGCTAAACTACACAATGTTCCAAAAGAATGTTCTACTCTAGTACAAAAAGAAAGGATGTTGCTCTATGCGTCCACCTCCGAGATTCACACTCCCGTCCAGTGGAGTCTCCCAAGTAGCGGGCTCCTCGACCCTTACGTCCTCCTCCTCAAGCGGGTAATTTGAAAAATGTTAGCGATAGGGGGTGAGCACGAAGCTCTATAGAAAAATTCTCTCAAACTCATACAAGGTTAGAAAAACATTTAAAATGGTCGGTCTCAATTTTAACATAACATAGATACATAATTTGAAATAAAGCAGTGATATTTAAAAAGGATCTAAAGTTTATTTAAAAACATTGCTTAAATAAATAAACGAGCATCACATACAAATATATCATTAATTGTCATAAACAATTCTAATAATTCTTTCGGTAGGTGGCATACTTTGTGGTAACCTCCACCCCCCTTTAGGTCACCTTTGATTCTCAAGCATCCTTACCGGAACCTCTTGAAAATGGATGAACGTCCTTACATGGAACCTCTCACCAATCACTACATTATTTCCCAAGCATTCTTACAAGAAACCTTTTACTCATGTGCATCACAAACAACCCAACCAAACATACAATTCTAACATTTATCTCAATTACAAACATCTATCCAAAATCCCCAAAATATACATATAACAAGAAATACATGAGATCACAATAACATCATTTTCTACCCAACACAAAGCACTAAGGTTTCAAAATTCATAATAAAGAAAGCATTTAGGAAGAAAATACATCACTCTCCAAAAATTAGGATTTTAAAACTAGAAAAGGAGATTTCTTGAGTATAAACCTTATTTTGTTCAAAACATGTAATCCTTGTAAAAAGCCTAAGAGAGGATAATTCCATAGCATATATATATCATTGATAGCCAAAACATACATATATAAATACCCTAGTCTCAATGTAAGTGAATGAGAGAAAATCTCTACCTTGAATCCTTAGCTTTGGAGTGAAGAACAAAAATATTTGATCTTGAATCACCCCTAAATCTCTTGTTTTTTCCTTCCTTTCTTTTTCTCTAATGCTCTCTAGGGTTTCAAGAGGTGTGAGAGTGTGAGTGAAGAAAAATGAGAGCAAATGAGATGAAAATGAGTTTTAAAACATAGCAGCCCCAAAAAACACTGTTCACATGTTGTTTTGGGTTTCTTCAAATTTACGATTTTACCACTAAGAATCTCCAATTTGATCCATATGACTACCCTAAGGTTTGTCGACATTCTGAATTCATTTTTAATGTTATTTTAACCTAAAAACATTTATTTTTATGATTTATCTCAAAACCCAAGTTAACGTACACCCGAAACACTAAAATTTTTATTTTACCCATCTGAATCGGCTATTAATGAAGTTTTGCGATATTTACAAATAAAATGTGATAAAGGGTGTTTCTTAAAACCTTTTATACTTATTTGAAGTCTAAAAATACTCATTATTCTTATATTTTGATTTAGGATGCAAATGGAGACATTAAATGCAAAACGAAGCTAATTGGACTATTTTGACATCGTTTCGTTATATGAGCATAACTCTCTCATCCATGCTCCGATTGAGATGATTCAAGATGCTATAGAATGATACGAAAGAGATCTAAAACTTTCATGTTTTGAGTTTTGAGAGATATTGACTACATCAAGGTCTAAATCGAGCTTGAAGTTGCAACAGTGCACTGCTCACAGCCTGTCTTCGTCCCTTTTCCATTTCCAATTCATTCCTAAGCCAACCAAATCCATCCCAAACCTCTCCAACACATATTTCTACACCAAACCTATTTAATACAAGTTCTAGGGCCTAAAATTTCATATTTTCACTTATTAAAACCAAATTTCAACTATTATTTTCACTAACATTTTAAATCTCTATTTTTCTAATCTACCAAATTCAAACACACATCACTACATATATCCACATTTTTTTTACCACAATTATTTACTATATATCTATATACATATATAAAAATAAAATGCAGAGTGTTACAATAAGTGTGAAAAATTGGTCATGTTGCTTCTAGATGTTATTATTATGTTTTCAAAAAAGCTATGACAAAATTAAGTATAAACACTTTAACTAAGTCACAAAATTTTATTCTTGATCTTATAAATAAAATTCAGGACCCAATTTCTAAAAGAAAAGCTATTGAACAATTTTTAGAAATAAATCCAGAAGAGAAAGATAAGAGACCTAATTTGTCTCCATCTTATTCTTTAAAAGAAGTTATTAATAGAACCGAAAGTAAAAATTTATCCCAAATGGAAGAAACCTTGCCTACTGAGGTTCTAGATTTAAGAAAAGAAATTACTAAGATCAAAGAAGATATAAAAGTCATAAAAGCTAGACTTTTAGCCTTAGAAAAAATGTCACTTGAAGAAAGTGACATTCAAGATGATAAAACATTGTCTTCTAATAAATACATAAATGTATTAGAAAAAATAACTTATCAAAAATGATATGTTAAAATTATCTTAGTTATAAATTTTGAATTTACTATCGAAACTATTATTCTAGTTAACAGTGAAGTAGATATAAACTGTATAAAGGCAGGATTAATTCCAACTAAATATTTTGAAAAAATTATTCAGTTAGTCAGTGTTGCTGATGGGTCAAAATTAAATATAAATTTTAAACTCTCTAATATTTTTATATGTAATCAAGGAATTTATATTCCTACCACTTCTATTCTTATTGATAATTTAAATCAATTGGTGATCTTAAGAACACCATTTTTATCTTTAATCGAACCTATAGAAATAATTGATTCTAAAGGAATTTTAACGACTATAAATAGTCAACAAATATTATTTGAATTTATAACTCCACCTCAAAAAAAATGATAAATCAAATAAAAAAAAAATCTGATTTATAAAGAAAATCAATTAAAATTTTCATCTTATTCTAACATATTAAAAAGTGATTTTTATTTTTCAAGACAAGAAGTTACAGAAATGAGTCATAACTCATATTCATTCTCTTTGAATCTTATTGTCAAATCACTAGAACTTCTTGACTGTTTTTGTGATTATGCAGGAGAAGATGTTTATAGCTTTTCCTCCACATGGAATACTAATAATTGCAAAATTTCACTTTGGTGTCTCTATTGCAATGCTGTGGAAGATCAATTAATTGATCATATACCTATTTTTTTATTAAGAATTGCAGGATGTCAAAAAAAATCTTTAAAAGCAGGTTTAAAGTTTCATCTTATTCTTGAAATTAATGACTGACATTATGAATGACACTATAAACAGTGGCTAGAAACTATAGTCCCAGAAAAATTTTGCCAAAACATGGTAAATAAACTTGATGATATAACAGTTTGAACCCAAGTTTTTGTATATAAAAATGCATATTTTTTTGATGACTATAAAAATACTTTTTATGCATATAAAAGTGCATATTATTTTAATCCATATAAGGATTTTCATTATTTTAATGCATATAAAAATACTTATTATCCTCCACTCTCTCTCTCTCTCTCTCTCTCTATATATATATATATATATATATATATATATTGTGTGTGTGTGTTACTATTGGGAATTGGCGCAAGGTAAATTTTTTCTTTTGCCAATGAGGCAATTTTCATAGGGTGTTACGATCTAATTCCTCAATTAATCCCAAAACTTAGATGCAAGTGTCAAATAATTGAGACTTCAAAATTCATTGGCAAGGTGTTGCTTTTCATTTTTGTCCATTATAGTTAATGATATTTATTATCTCCATTCTTCCTGTTGAGTCTCTTTTTTTCTATTTTATTGATTTTATAACTGTGGTTTTCATGACTTGGATATAGCTAAGTTTGAAGTATTTTGTAAGGTGTGAATAGAATTTTTAAATTCAATTTCTGTAATTTTTCTAAAAAATAGGATGTGACTGTATTTTTTAAGTATTCAACAGCTTTCATTTTATGAGTTTGTTCTTGATTTTTTTTTTTTTTACTTCCTTGAAATTGACCAAAGTTTACGATTATTTTATTTTATTTAAAACAACTATTCGAGTCGTTATATATCAATATTGAAAAAATCAATTTGTCAAGTTCGTCTTAACTTAGAAAACAATTAATTCATAATTCATATTTGATCCTATGGTGCAACATCACTCTCTTAGAAATAATATTCCGCCAGTTTCTATCACTTCACTCCTCTCTGTCGTCTCCCCCCCCCCCCCCCCCAAAAAAAAAAAAAATTCCTCCCTCTTTCCTCTCCTGACCATTCATATCCTCCCTCTCTTCAGATTAATGATCCGACCCATTAACTAACAACCTCATAAACTATGTCCAAATAGTAATATTGAAAACCATACACCATGAGATCCAAGGCCCAACTAAGGGCAAGCAAGAGAAGATAAAACAGGAGAAATGTAACAAAAATAAAGCACCAAATGCTACCATTTGCACATAAAGTTCTAAGGAAAGACCAAAAAAACAGACACAGACCAAAGCATGTAGAGTCTCACCGATGTTCTTCCACCTCTATAACCCATTGTTCTAGAGGACTACATTCTTTTCGTTCCTCTCTTTATTACTCAAAGCTTTATACAACTATTTTCAAGTATCAACAATCTCAGATGCATCTGCAGCTGCTAAAATGAGCTCAGGTTGAATGCTGCCCACATAGTTCCCGTCCAATGCGTTGGGAAGTCCCAGAGATTTCAAAGCCAAATGAGCCGCTTTCTGCCCAGAGATCATCATTGCTCCGAACGTAGGTCCCTGTATCACCACCACCACCACCATATAACACATTAATCAACACAATCAGATTCATAGTTTTTCTTTATCATTCTTGACTTTGCACATCAAACAACTCAATTAACAGTTCATTTTTGCTCCAATTTTATGTTATCTTTAAGTATCTTAAACAATTTCTTCTTCGGACTACATAAAAAAGTCATTATCCAGTACACAAGGCACTCACTTCTTGTCATATAAGCATAAGCCAGAGGTAATCCGATCTTTCCTTCTTATAGTTATATCTTCTCAGATATTTGAGGAAAACTAACAAACCACCCATAAAAGGGAAGAATCTTAAGGTATGGAATGACCAAAAAGCTACGGCAAGGCACTTGAAATTACTTTATTGTAACAAACCAATCTGGACAAGCCCTTTTTCTCTAAAGGATTATTACCCACTTAAATGATATATAACCTGCTTTTTAATAACCTTAATATACTAGTGTAGTGAGGGTATGATCACCCCTTGAAATGCCACAACCATTTCATTGTGTAATCAGTATCAATTTTAAGGTTCTTATGAACAAGATTCGAGGATTATTGTCGTGCTTATTAGTTTGTATTTTACTTAATCGCTATCTCAGGAGTAAATATTCAATGTGTAACTGTGACACCTCGTCGTTACCGGTGCCACCATGTTCCCTAGTTCTAAACATGGGATAGTTATCGCATTATATGTGATGATGACTAGAATAAACTCTAAGTGTGAGCTCAGTCAAGGAGCTCAGACAAGGAGGTTGGTCAAGGAGCTCAGACAGGACATCTAAAGATCGGTGATCCAATTCTCGAGCTCCCTTTAGAGGAGACAATAAAGGAAATGAGAAGGAAACAACTGGAAAACTGAGGGGACATTCCCGAAGTAACAGGAATCTACAGCTAAGGCGCAAAACTCTCATCTAACCAAGATCCTCTCCGAAAATCAAGGACAATCCCTCGAATGAAGGATAAGGATCTCGGTGCAGATCCCTTAGAAATAGGAATTAGATTATATATACTGGACAATGCCTCCATTGAGAGGGGCGAAGCCAAAACAAAATACATCAGAATCTTCCTGTAATTCACAGAGGTGATGAATAAAGATCTAAGGAGCAAGAACCTCCATTGAAGGGTGGATTACCCAAGCTCCTGGTGAACCACACTGTGCAAGTTACCCCAATTCCCCAAGGACCTTTCCATAATCCTCACGAGCCTTGTAGCTTAGATTCAGACTTGTTTATATGATTCGTGTTTTCTGTTCGTCTGTCTAATTACACCATCAATATGGATGGCAGGATGGGCATGTTTTTAACACGACAGTCAATATTTTCTCGGATCTTAGATATAGTATGCCTGCAAAATCTACAATAAATTACTGTTAAAAACAGAGCCACAAACTGGAAAAAAATTACCATTCTAGGAGCCCCATCGATCTCAGCAACCTCCATTCCGGTAACAATCATTCCCGGAACAACCTCTCTGGTGAGCCTCACAATAGCATCCTCAGCACCATTCATGTCCAACGCCTTCATACCAGGCACATTATCAATCATCCCAATGCTCTTCAGCCTCTTAACACCGGTGGCTCCAAACGGACCGTCGTGGCCACATGAACTAACCACCACTTTGGCCTCCATGACATTTGGGTCCATACAGGACTGTGTGTCATGGTTCATCGAAACCAAGGCCCAATTCGTCACAACACCACCGACTCTGTTTCCTTTCACAATCAAATCCTCGGCAGCGACAGCGTTGAAGAGCTTCACATTTGGCCGAGCCAAAAGCTTGCTCATGATTGTGGAAGTGAACAGAGCCGCGTGCTTGATTACGACGTAGTTGTCTTGCTCGTCGTAGTCTACGCCAATTTCGTCGAGGAAGAGATGAGCTGGTTTGCGAACCACCATGGCTGAGAAGAGTTGGCCACCTAGCCATGCTCCACCACCAGGGCTCACAGATTGCTCAATGATAGCCACCTATTCAGAGACAAAAGTACCAATAATAGACATATATTCAGACACACATTCATTAATTTTTGCCAAAAATTAATGAAGTAGTAAAGAAAGATATGAGCACTATGACAAGTGAATCCAGATAGTCAACCCCAAAAAATATTAAGGCAAGCTCTGCTACCGATTGTGTAGGCTTATGCCCACTACTCCTTTCAACCTTATCAATGTGGCATGCTGACTAGTGAAAAGTAATTGAGCCTGAAACTTCGGAATTGAGGTTCTGTTAGTTTTGTTGCATGAACAGAAAGAAACCCACCTTCCATCTTTTTCATTCTAACACGAATTTGTTTGGGTATGTTGGAGACTATAAATTTATTGATTTCTATTTCAGATTGAATCATTTCCCAGAGAAAACACAACTTTATAAGTTTCTTAGAAAAGATGGAAATCAGATTACCTGTACGGATGGGTTCTTGCTGAGCTCATACGCACAAGAGAGTCCAGCAGAGCCAGCACCGACGACGACAACATCGGTGTCGGCGTATGTGATCATGTCCATCATGTATCGACGGGTCATTTCACGAGAAACGATCGATTCTTTGATGGGTTCAAAACTGAAGGATTTAAGATCATACGGAGGTGATGAAAGACACATGGAGACAGAGAGGGCTTGTGGGTTGCTGGCCCTAATGGGTTGTACGCTGGCTGGAGATGAAATTGGGACTCCATAAAAGGATGATTGGTCTAAGAAACTGGTCTTGAGCTTTGAAGAGAGCAAGGTTGTGGCCATGGTTGCCATTGTAATGCTGAAGAAGGTTGAAAGGCTAGTGTATAGAGATATCAGGTTTTCTGAAGATTGTGTGAGTGAAGAGGAGAGTGAGAGTGGATATTTATGGAGGTGATGAAGAAATATCTGGGGGAGGGGGAGGAGTAGGGGACACGTGTAAAGAGGATAGGAATTGAAGGGTCTAGAATGGTTAGGTTAGTTGCCATCTAGTAAAGAAGATGATGATCAACTGTGAAATGTCCAGTTCTAGCACAAGTTCCATGGATGAACTACTCTTAACGTCTACTTAGATTAAATACTTAGAGCTAAGTAATATCATTAATTCAGTCATTTGTCTCTTTGTGGTGAAAAATCCTCCCTTTCGAGCTAAGGGATAAACGTAGTTCATCACTTTTTTGTTCGTCATCTTTTGCCACAACTTTAGATGAAAAGGATTTGAGATTCACGGGAAAATAAAATATCTTTGCATGAAAACCATTGAAATTTCAACTTAATTTTCAATTGAGTTTTGGTGGCATCATATTTTTGTCATCTTGGAATAGTTTCACCCTTTTTGAGTTTTGAATGATATATATATATATATATATATATATATATATATATATATATATATAGAGAGAGAGAGAGAGAGAGAGAGAGAGAGGTCACCCAATCAATATTCCACTGAGTGGCAAGCATACAAGAAGGTAGTAGGACACCTTGTTAATTACTTTTGCAAAATTTGCTCTTGTAATGCCAACAAAGCAAATGGAATAGAAAATTTGCAAATTTCTCAATAAATTCAACGAATGAGGTTTTTTATAGGCCAAAGGATTGGACCGATAGAGGACCTTTATCCCTTGTTTGAATGAGATGGCACTAGAAGTGGAACATATAAAAAATTTTTATGGCGTGAATATCTCAACTTATTTGAATTGGTCCAAGTGTGTTGAGTTAGAAAACTCCCAAGCTATGACTCAAGTCTAGTGAACTGGTGAGCAAGGAGTTGAGGACTAGGCCTTATGGAGCTCCTCTTCCGAGCTGCAAAATTTATCTATCGAGCTCGTGTTTAATTTATAATCATCAAAATATATTTGATGAAGCTAATGGGTGTGTTTGTTAACCTCACACATCCTCCGCCGCCTAGGGTGAAGCTTAAAATTGGGTTAGCATTGCGTTCAATTCACTAATTACACAACTCAGATTATAATATGGGATAATTTTAACTTTTTACACAAACTATTAGTTCAAGATAACTTGGGTTGAACTCAAATTCACAGACCTAATTACTGAATTCGAGTTAATTGAATTGGTCCTCTTATTTGAATTGGTCCAAGTGTGTTGAGTTAGAAAACTCCCAAGCTATGACTCAAGTCTAGTGAACTGGTGAGCAAGGAGTTGAGGACTAGGCCTTATGGAGCTCCTCTTCCGAGCTGCAAAATTTATCTATCGAGCTCGTGTTTAATTTATAATCATCAAAATATATTTGATGAAGCTAATGGGTGTGTTTGTTAACCTCACACATCCTCCGCCGCCTAGGGTGAAGCTTAAAATTGGGTTAGCATTGCGTTCAATTCACTAATTACACAACTCAGATTATAATATGGGATAATTTTAACTTTTTACACAAACTATTAGTTCAAGATAACTTGGGTTGAACTCAAATTCACAGACCTAATTACTGAATTCGAGTTAATTGAATTGGTCCTCTTATTTGAATTGGTCCAAGTGTGTTGAGTTAGAAAACTCCCAAGCTATGACTCAAGTCTAGTGAACTGGTGAGCAAGGAGTTGAGGACTAGGCCTTATGGAGCTCCTCTTCCGAGCTGCAAAATTTATCTATCGAGCTCGTGTTTAATTTATAATCATCAAAATATATTTGATGAAGCTAATGGGTGTGTTTGTTAACCTCACACATCCTCCGCCGCCTAGGGTGAAGCTTAAAATTGGGTTAGCATTGCGTTCAATTCACTAATTACACAACTCAGATTATAATATGGGATAATTTTAACTTTTTACACAAACTATTAGTTCAAGATAACTTGGGTTGAACTCAAATTCACAGACCTAATTACTGAATTCGAGTTAATTTCAAGTTGAGTCCCAAGAAATAAGGACTTCACCCCCAAGTACTATAGGGTAAAATTTGTAAGTATTAATTTTTTTTTTTTGCCTAAATACGCAATTCACACTGACAATCAACCGAAATGATAGACCATTAGCATTGGATTTGTATCCTCCCAACTAGTACTGATAATCGAGCCAAATTTTACAAGTTTGAGTCAAGTTTATCGAGCTTGTTTTTCTAAACAAGTTTAAAAAATTGTTCAAACTTAACTTATTTTTCCAAATTGAGCCGAACCTGAGTAATTTAAATATTTTACATATAAACGAGTCCAACCCAAATAACTTAAATATTTTATATGTAAATGAACCGAACCTTTAAACTCATTTACTAAATAACCAAGCCCAAACCAAACTCAAAACGAACCGAACCCTAATAGCTCAGTTCAATTATCAACCTAACTCCCAACTATCAAAGGATAAAAGTTGATCCACCAGAGTCCTAAAATGAACTATACACCATCTCTAGAACCCCTCCAAAGCCAAGAGTAAAAACTCTTATTAAGTTTTTATATTTTGAAAAACTGACGAGACATGTATAAAATCTTTCATTCAATTTTGCAATCATAAGATGACTTATAGAATGACTCTAAACAGTCCGTGGGCTGAGCATGACCTTTAAGCTTCTATGAGACAATTAGGGAAGTGATAATTGTATTGTGGCAGAGCAATAATATATTAGTGACATGTCAATAGCCCATAATCAAAATAATGTTAAGTATGCCAGAATCTTAATGTTCTAATGATCACCTGAATAGATTCTTCAGAAACACACTTGAATGGAACCAATCTTCCAATGTACCAACTCTGATACCATGTTAGAGGCACTCGACCCAAAACCAATCTCCATGCAAAAAAAGCTTCCCTTGAATGGAACCAATCTTCCAATGTAGGAGACGAGCTCTCTTCACAGGACATTTAGGAAGGCATTTATCTGCTACTATTTTTAATAAAATGGAGCTGGAGTTAACCAGACTCCAAAGATAACTCAGATGTCAAAAGCTGGAATACATTAGATTGACATGAGACTGCATTTCTGCGCTTAACTATTTAACACTGTCAACAGATCTTGACGAAGAACCTGATAACAGATGAGGAAAGAAGTGTCACTTTCATGCAAAGAAAAATGAAGAATCTGCCACTTCGGTATACAAAAGGTGTAAAGTCAAGGGAGAGAATGGGTTCTACATTTCTACAACACATGTAATGCACATCTTCAACAAGTCATCGAATGTCATACAAAGCAAGAAGTCAAAATGCTAAATACATATGGGCTGATAACAATGGTCTGACAAATAAGTTTCGAGTTTCCTCGTAACCGTTTAGTGGAGCAGTCTGTAAATGATCCTGAGATCTCAAAAACTCAAGTACCGGTACACTCTTCTGTCAAAGACCTATAATTCCTCTTACCATGTTGAATTTAGTTTCAAAAGGATAGACATATGGTTTCAGAATCTGCTGCAACCTGAAATATCAGAATAATAATTAATGAAGTGTCCAAAACATTTCTTCTAATTTAATTTGGCTTGTAGCATTCTGTGATTCTGTTGGAGAAATGATTTTTAAGCATCTTAACTTGCTAAACAAGGAGATCCATTTCATTGGACATTGCAATCCCACCCGATAGATAGTCCAACAGAATAAGTAAGATGTTAAGCTCCAAACTAAAGAAGAAGCAGTTCAAAAATTATGATAAAACTAAGGTCAAACCAAACAATGTCTTCCTATAAAAGCGGTGGCACTGGAATAGCAATTCCAAACATGCAACTCTCAAATATGAAAAAGATAGTACAGACAAGCAAATCTCCACCAAAACAGATGACAACTGAAAACTAACCATCTACAGATGATCAAGATAGGTATATCAAAATAGAAACTTTGTAGTAATTGAACAAGAAAGTTGTTTAAATATGAACTAACATATTACTCACAGAAATACATATATATTCAGAAATGCATGCATAGGGAGATACATGAATTTCTAGAAACCAGGCTCTTAGCGTACAATTTTGGAACAAAAGTCAGTTCACGTAGATTGCCTCTAAAAACAACATACATTCATGAATCAATGTCCGAAGTGCTTTAATTCAGATAAACTGTGAAGTGACGAAACAATCTTGTTGGGAATCTGGTTGGAGTCGGATAAATATTCTGGATTTATTTATTTATGTGATAATAGTTAGTAGTTATCTTTTTAGTGTTACCTTTATGTTAGGAGTCTTTACCTTGGGGTGTGGTTTCCCTGTATAGAAGAATTGATTTAAGCTTTTTATTAAATCTTTTTGATTATTGATTAATTGATACTATCATTTTTTGCCCTAATCTCCTTTTTCTTTCCCCTATTCTCATCCCCTTCATCTTATCAGTCTACATCAAATTTCCATGCAAGCCCACAATAATTTTTGAAAAGCTTCCAATTTAAATCGTAATGGTACATATGGGAAAGATAGTGGAAGAAGAATACTGTTAGCAGTTTCTAACCACTGGAGGAACCACTCACGAGTTCACCTGCTTGAGTTGATTGAGTGATTGTACTGCCAGCTTGATATCTTTGAGCCTAAAATCACATGAATTAGCTGAATTGATAAAGCAGACAATGGAATTGCCAAAGAATCATCACACAGAGCATCCAACTTCTGACAACCACAAAGACGTAAAAGATCAACATAGCATTCAAGTTTTCTAGATTGAAATACAAGATGTAGATGTTAAACTAAAATAGATTTCAAATACATAACAATAGTTTTTGTTGCATCTGTCTGCATACAGGAGAGGTTCTCAACAGAATTACCTCACTGCAATCAACATAGGAAAATTTAGATGCGGCATGAACATGTGCACACACACACACACACTGAGACAGAGAGACAGATGCTGCAATGAACATGTTTCTTATTCAAGTGACATCATCAGTGCAGAAGCAAAAAGAAAATGTGAAAACAGAGTATACCAAATCCCGTTTTATGAATTGAACATGCATTCTCGCCGACATAATGCCTGTTGATGACTGGACATGTTGCTCATATCCAGGAATGGTGTTTTGTGAAGAAACACATATTAGCTTTGTTAGCCTTTAGGGTCTCTGTACATATAAGCAACCTTAGATTCTTCCTGTTCCTCTAATCCTGATTGCATTTTATCCC